GCTGTGTGCATGTGTGCATGCTCTAGTAAGTGTGCTCTATTTGATAACTAAGAGAATTAAAAAGTAAATTTGAAAAATTAAAAAAAAAAAAGCAGAAGCCAAGAGAGAAGAATCTGAAGAGTCTGATGATGACATGGACCTTGGTCTTTTTTTTCTCTTTTATTTGGAATATAATTGCTTTATAATGTTGCTGCTTTCGGCTGTACGCCAGAGTGGATCAGCTATCTGTATACACACTGGCTTCCTCTTGCGCCTCCTTCCCGCCCCCAGCCCGCCTCGCCCTCTGGGTCATCACAGAGCTCTGAGTGAGCTCCCTGCGCCGCACAGAAGCTGGCCACTGGGACTTCGGTCCTTTCGATTAAACTGCTATAGTAACACGTTATAAAAAGCGGAGCTCTTTGCTGGGAGAAGAAAAAAAGACTGTGGCGTCATGTGTCAAGCAAGTCCGTCAATGCCATGTTCCAACAGCATTTGCTCACTCAATGTCTCTTCAAGTGACATTTCTGTGTCACGTTATTTATTTTTATTGCTATTGTGTTTGTTATGGTGATCTGTGACCAGTGATCTTTGATGTTACTACTACCACTTATTGAAGGTTCACATGATCGTTAGCAATAAATTATTTTAAAATTAAAGTATGTACATTGTTTTTTAGACTCCATGCTACTGCACAGTTAACAGACTATAGCATAGTGTAAACGTAACTTTTATATGCACTAGGAAACCCCAAAATTCATGTGTTTGCTTCACCGCAATACCCACTTTGTTGTGGCGGTCTGGAACCAAACCTGAAGTATCTCTGAGCTGTGCCTGTACTTAAAATACTAGATAGCTATAGACTATTTCCAAATTTAACTCAAAATAGTAATAACTCAGAGTTTGGTTAATTTTACCATCTCTATGCTTAACTCTAAACCTCCTCAGACATTTACCCATGAAGGAGGAAATTATTTCCTCCCAAGTAATTTGCCATTGTCCTGTTGGATAGCTGAGGTTGTATGTAGACTCAACACTTTGGGTGGGATAAGAATATTTACCACTGTAAGTAAGTAAGTGAAGTTGCTCAGTCGCGTCCGACTCTTTGCGACCCCATGGACTGTAGCCCACCAGGCTCCTCTGTCCATGTGAATTTCCAGGCAAGAGTACACATTGTCAAATGACAAATTAAGCAATTTAGTGATGAGTTAATTCCCTTTATTCATGGATTGGGGGCATACAGTGCCTCACAAGCAGTGGAACACCTCTCCTGAGGTATTTTGGGTAACGGTGAGTTTTGCAAAGCTTTACAAGTTCCAACGTAGTTGATTAGGATTATATATCTGACCTTATTTAGAAAGATCAAGGAACAAGGAAATGAGTCCAGAGTCCACAGCTGGCCCAATATACGGAATTGTCTGACTGGATACACCATGTTTCTGGTCACATGAAACATTTACAAAAACACGAAAGTTTGCTGATGTAACACTCTGGACAGGAGCAGCTCCATCTTGAGTCTGGAAGTTTATTTCAACAACATCTAGGATGAATTTTCTCACAATGATGGAGCACTAGTCTTACTAGAAGTCTCTTTAATGTCCCTATGCCAGATGAGGGGATCTCACACAAACCACTGACCTTGCATTAGAGTTTATGAGCCCTAATTTTCACGTACGATTTAACCCCACAATCCTCATCCACATTGCTTCACTGATTGTTCGGATCCAATGGGTCATATCTAGTTATATTCTAGGCTGAATGATTTTTATATTCTTCCTATCTGTAGTGCTACAAATCTTACAGTATGTAAATGGCATCTGTTTGGATTCTGTAAAATCTATGTCTACCTGATTCAAAGGTCAGAATTCTAACATCACTCTTGTGATAACACTTTTTTTTAAAGGCAAATAAAACAGGATAAGTACAAAGTTTAAAAGTTACTGCAATAAATAATCACTGGCAATTAGTCAGGTTTAGTTCAACCACATGAGCTGCCCTGGTGGCTCAGGTAAAGAATCTGCCTGCCAATGCAGAAGACGTGAGTTCGATCCCTCGGTCAGGAAGATCACCTGGAGAAGGAAATGCAACCCACTCCAGTATTCTTGCCTGGGAAATGTCAAGGACCGAGGGGCCTGGAAAGTTACAGTATGTAGGGTCACAGAGAGTCAGACACGACTGAGCGACTAAGCAACAAGGTCAACCATAGAGTCCTCCTTTCCTTCTTCCTACCTCCCATCTCCTGCAAATCACCACAATCATATATTATCACTTCACTTATAAATTTTTTAATGACCAGTGTGTGGCTTTGTTGCTTTTAGCACAAGACAGTTTTATAGTAAAACTTTTCCATAGTGGTCTAATGTTTAACTCATGCACCCCAAATATAAAGTAACAATTTTCATAAATTGCCATTTAACAATACAATCACTTCACAGAGGCCTTAACAAATGCTATTTTGAAAATGCTGATTTTATTCCCCCTCATCACACAAGAACAAGTTGAAGAGCAATCCTAGCAAAAAGGAGGGATAACACTTGCTACAAAATTATCTGAATCCCACAAAATCACTCTACTTCTGCTGAATGGTCTAACTTGAAACCTTCTAAAGCTTTGGATATTTGCTGCTTAGTGTGTGCCTACATTCAAGACAAAAATAAATGAACAAGCAGCAAGTGAATTTTAGTAAATATTAGTACATAAATTCAAAACTAAGCAATCATGTTTACTTTGACAGTTTTTAAATTAATAATTAATTTAAATTTAATTAAATTGATTTAAATTCTTGGACCAGTACAAAGATATCTGTGATTTTAATATGCATACCTATAATACAGTGATATTCTCTGCTAAAACTATTCCTAGTCCTTAGGATGAAATTAGTTTTTTCTGGGTTTGAAGCAAAGTGCATTGTGAGTAAGAAATAAGAAAAACTGGCCTAAAATTAATTGCATGGGAACGTCTTGTTTATTTCAGTTTTCCAGCAACTTTTCATCTCAAATATAGAACTTTGGGTAATTTCCCAGAACTTTTCCTTGTCTCTTTAATACATGATCATATACATATACACACAGATATATGTGTACATGCACGCATCCATATAAACACTTATAAATGTTGAATCCCTAAATGTTTAATTGGCTAGAAATTGGTTCTATGTAGGGAGCTGATCTCAGAATTTGGAAATAAAGTTGGAAATAAAGTGGGGTGAGTCACTTTAGAAGTAACCCTACCCAAGAAACGGTTTGCTAATGTCCCCCTGAAGTGTCATGAGAAACTCTGCAGTTATTTGGGCAAGACAGCTCCCCAAGAAGGCAGGATGGACCTGTGATGTGTGTGCATTGCATGTATGCACTTACACTGCCACAAGCGTGGTGTGGGAGGGCTATGACAGCGGGGTGACAGGCAACATGGGGCCTAGGAGAAGGTAGCTGCAGGGGAGAGCCATGCCAGATGGCCTGCTGCCCTGACCCAAGAGAGAGGCTGTTTCGGCCCTAAGGCTGCTGCTGATCCTCAGGACCCCAAAGTCCTAGTGTGGAGAGAGAAGGTCATGGATTTGTTGGTTTGGCGCTAAACCTGCTCTCGCTATAAACAGCTCTCTGATCAATAGTAGGGACTCCAGGTGTTCTTGGTCTCACCCAGAATAAGTCCTATGAAAACACCCTGGGAAGCTTTTATACCCAGCAACAGTCTCTCCTGTAAATGGGGTTCCTGGTTTGTAGATCAGTTTCCCACCGCAGTTTGATCTTCTTGAGTAATGGTTGGAATTAGAGGTAAGGACCAGCAAAGATAAATACAGAATTAGCTGAGGGACCGCTTACCATCAGAGCCCACTAGTAGAGTTCAGACTGAGGCAAATGGCCAAGTAACCTCACTGCTGACTTTTCTTTAGCTGTACTTTGACTATGAATGTGGTGAATGCAGAATTCAAAATCAGTAGGTTCTGATCTTTCAGTTGAATAAGACTAATTTTAATGAAAGTGGAAAGAAAATTTCAGATAGGGAAGAAGTTGGTGCTTTGTGGCAAATGAAAATGGGGAACTGATGAGTTTTGTTGAGGCTTTGGGAATAACTGGCTTCTATTCACAGCAGACAAACAAAGATCAGTAGCATTTAAAGTTGCACGTTATTCCTAACAGAGCATGCTCTTTGAGGTGTAGCCTATTGTCATGTGAAATGCATGGTCCCTGCAGCCAGCTTGTTTAGGACTGAATCCTGGCTCCAGCACTTGCCAACTGTTTAACCTTGGGAAAGCAACTTAATTTCTCTGTGCGTTGGTTTCCTTATCTCTAAAATGAATTGTTGTAAAGATTAAATGAGATGGTGTACCCAAAATGGTTAAAATTGCATCTGACATATAGTAAGATATTTTTATAATCTAATAATTGTGGAGTAGCTTATTTCTCATGAATTAGATGGAGAAGGAAGCCAACCAACAGCTTGTTAAGAAGCTGGCATAAAGAATGGAAGAAATGGTTAGCTAAACTCTTAAGACTGTAATCTTTTCTGACTAGTAAAGGGCACAGACTACTTTTTTTTTAATTAGAGGAAAATTTCTTTACAGTGCTGTGTTGGTTTCTCCCAGCAACATGAATCAGCTTTAAATATACATATGTCCCCACCCCGTTGAACCTCCCTCCCAGCCAGCCTTCTAGGTGGTCACAGAGGCCTGGTAGAGCTCTCTGTTACACGCAACTTCCCACCATCTATTTTACACATGGTAATGCGTATGTTTCAATGCTACTCTCTCAATTCATCACACCCTCTTCTTCCCCCCTGGGGCACAGGCTTTTGACCCCAATCACACAGGATCTATTTCCATTAGACAGGAAATGCTTACATAGTACCTGTTAGGTGCCAGACACTGGTCTATGTGCCTTACAAATACAAAGAATTGATGCTTTTAAATTGTGGTGCTGATCCTTAGGGGCCAAAGGCCTGGGCTTGCTCGGTATCCTCTGCTCCCTTGCTCTCATCTGGGCACATGCACACTCCTAGATGCAGATTGCTTTGAACTTTAAAACTGTTCAATTTGGTTTTGTTTGTACCGATTTAAAAAATGTTTTAATACGGAAAATTTGGGGGAGAACCGTGGGTAGGGCCTGGTTCCTTTGCTTCTCGGGGAACAACAAGGCCTCGTCTGGAGGACTGCTCTCTGCTCCACTTTCCTGGAAGCTGCCTAAGCCTGTCCACGCCGCCCAAGCCCTGCGCCTGGATATGACACGTGGCTCCGGTAGCTTCTGGGCACGGCTGCGTTTTCTCAGGACCTTGTGTGCAGGGGAGGGAGTGCTCAGGCCTTGCGCCGAGCCTGCCTTTTCTGTACACCTAGCGCTGCCCGCCCCGCTTGTGTCTGAGGTCATGTATGTCAAGATAAAGCCGCTAGAAACTGAATAAATAAATAAATAAATAGTGGTGCTGAAGAAGACTCTTGAGAATCCCTTGGACTACAAGGAGATCAAATCAGTCAGTACTAAAGGAAATTAACCCTGAATATTCATTGGAAGGACTGACGCTAAAGTTGAAGCTCCAATATTTTGGCCACCTGATGCAAAGAGTCGACTCACTGGGGGGAAAAAAAAAAAAACCTGATGCTGGGAAAGATGAGGGAAGAGGGTGGCAGAGGATGAGATGGTTAGATAGCAACACCAACTCAGTGAACATGAATTTGAGCAAGTCTGGGAGACAGAGGAGGACAGAGGAGCCTGGCACGCTGCCGTCCGGGGGTCACAGAGGTGAACACGACTTAGGGACCAAACACCAACAAAGCTTGATGCTGTGAGCAGGCCCGTTCCATAGATGAGACAAGTGGGAGGAGAACAGGGCTTCAGTCAGACTCCAGAGACACGTGGGATGCTGCCCATCCCTGTCTTCAGACAGGACTGCTGCTGCAGAGAAAGTAGACGAATGCGGCTGGAGCCCGGCACCAACAAACAGTTCTGGTGCAAAACATTTTCATACCGGTTCGTCTTGTTTATTTTTTTTCCTTCATCAGGTTGGGATAGGAGAAGTTATGGCTTTGACATGACTTAAAGGGTGCAGAATTTAATTTTCCTATTAAAAGTATAAAGCTGGGAGAAATAAACCCCAGGCCTGGTCACCAGGCCACTGCCCTGCCCAGCTTTGTAGCAAAGCTGTTAACTGACCCTCCGTTAGCACAACAAAGGTCCTTCTGCTCAGTGCCTTTAGAACCAATATAATGAGGCAGTGCAGTTCAGAAGCAAAGAAAAGTTTAAATCTTTGACCAGGAACAGACAGGTGTAGATCCTTATTGCAAGGTGAAGTTCTCCTCTATAGGCCATGAGCAAAACAGCTTTATAGGGTTCTCAGCAGTCAGTCGGAGAAGGCAATGGCACCCCACTCCGGTACTCTTGCCTGGAAAATCCCTTGGACAACGGAGTGTTCTTGCCTGGAGAATCCCAGGGACGGGGGAGCCTGGTTGGCTTCCGTCTATGGGGTCCCACAGAGTTGGACACGACTGAAGGGACGCAGCAGCAGCAGCCAGTAGTCATGTACGGATGTGAGAGCTGGACCATAAAGAAGGCTGAGCACTGCAAACTGTGGTGCTGGAGAAGACTCTTGAGAATCCCTTGGACAGCAAGATCAAACCAATCAGAGCTAAAGGAAATCAACCCTGAATATTCATTGGAAGGATTGATGCTGAAACTGAAGCTCCAATAGTATGGCCACCTGAAGCGAAGACCAACTCACTGGAAAAGACCCTGATGCTGGGAAAGATTGAGGGCAGGAGAAGGGAGCAACAGAGAATGTGATGGTTGGATGGCATCACCAACTCCATGGACATAAGTTTGAGCAAACTCCAGGAGATAGTGAAGGACAGGGAAGCCTGGCGCGTGGCAGTCCATGGGGTCGCAAAGAGTCAGACATGATTTGGCAACTGAACAACAAAAACAGCAGCGGCAGGGATTGGGTGGAGTTTCCGGAGAGCAGCGCAGCTGCGCTGAGGCTCTAGATCACAGCGCTGGGGGCAGCATCTCTGCACACAGCCCACGGCTGCCACCTTGGTTTGCAGGGTCATGTGCAGCGCTTCTCCACATGGTCCGCAGAGCTGAGGTGTCTATCACAGCCATTCCGCACAAATAACTTGGGTCTGAAGTGCCCGCTGCAAGGCCTCTGCAATTGGCACCATATGAGCAGGTGAAACAAGACAGACTCAAAGGAAAAGAAACAAGAAAAGGTTAGACTTTATTACCCAGATTCTTTTTTACTTTCGCAGGAATTGTTAATAGGCTTTACCAGTGACAAAACAGTGAAGGTAAGGGTTTACTCTGTTACACTGGCCAAAGTAAGGGCTGCAAGCACTTACTATACTTGACATTTTGTGCTGGTAGTGAGTATAGAGGGCTTCCATGGTAGCTCAGTGCTAAGAATCCCCCTACCAATGCATGAGATGCAGGTTCGATTCTTGGGTTGGAAGGATCCCTTGGAGGTGGAAATGGCAACCCACTCCAGCATCCTTGCCTGGGAAATCCAGAGAAGAAATGGACAGAGAAGCCTGATGGGCTACAGTACATAGGGTCACAGAGAGTCAGATACGACTGAGCATGCAGTGAGTATATAGGAATGAAATTTGGTTAATTCCTGATTAGCCTGTAGTGTGCTTCATTTTATTACTGGCCTTGGCAGAGTTTCTTCTCCTTTTATAACTTTCGCAGCTACAGAGATTACGTTTAGTAAGTTCAGGGTTGGTTTGTTAATAAGAAATGGAAGCAGGGGACTTCTCCAGGTAATGAAAACTCCATATTCCTTTTACCTCTGTTAGAGTAGGTCTAACCTGTAACGGAACTAGAGGACGGGGACTACGTGTCTGTCTCAATCTTCTTAGCACCTAACACAGTACCTGGCATGCACACGCTAGTTCCATTCAGTTGAATCTTGGAGTGAAACAGAAATGTGCTAGGTTAAATGCTCTGCTTATAGGAAATACACCGAACCTTAGCTGAAATTCTAACAGCAATTATCTTTGGGTAGTGAGATTCTTGCGCTGTTTTATTTCCTTCCTTACCCTTTTGCTATTTTCCAAAACCACTGCTGTAGACTACAACAGATGACTGCTTATAGGAAAGAGTTCCCTTCTCCTTATCTCATTTGTTTCTAATATGTGGGTTTTATTTTTACAAAATTGGTAATTTTACAAAAATTTTATGGGCACAGATAGTCAAATAGTTCTACGAAGAGCAAATGAAGACACTCTTTAAATCCTTTTAGTCAGTTATTGTAGTATTTACTTCTACATATCTAAATAACATACTTATGTTGTTTGTTTTTTATATTTGAATCTCCCATTGATTTCTCTGTGGGGTAATGAGACTAACGTGTTTCACCACTGTTATCCCATTGCCAGGGACATTCTAATCACCCCCACCCTTGCATAAATTTGGCCAGATTGATGTTCAGTGTTGGCATTATGCTAACTTGGTAAATATTTTTGATTCTGTGAACAACATTTTATTTTCTCTAGAGTTAATAATTTCCTTTATTGGCTTAGTTTTTGATGTTTTTACCACTAAATTGACCTTCTTCCCTTCATCCTCCCTACCCTATCATTTTATAAACCACTTCTCAGTACATTCAAATGTCTTAGATATTCTCTAATTTCATCTTCTGGAGCCTCTGGGCTTGCTCCAATCTGGGCTCACTTCTCGAGGCCTGCTGCACACCTTGGGATTCCTCTTCACGGACATCCTAGGATCTTCTTTGCCTTTTTCCCATGTTGGACCCACTGTTGCCTGGATCTTTATGCCTTCCTCTTTTTTTGATTCATTCTCTCATTTTAGAGTATCTTTCTAACAAAGGGTCTATGGGAGATAATACTTTTGAGAGTTTCCATGCCTGAAAATACCTTTACTTCCTGTTCATCTTTAATTAATACTGGCTGGATATAGAACCCCAGAATGGAAATTCCTTTCTTTCTGAAATTTTAAGGCATAACTCCTTTCTCTTATAGCTTCTATCATTACTATAATGGAACCTGATGCCACTCTGACTCCTGAACCTTTACAAGAATCATGTTTCCCTCTCTGGAAGTCTGTAGGATCTTCTTCTCATTCTCACTGGTCCTGATTTCACTCTAACATGTCCCAGGGCCAGAGCCAGGGTCTGCTTTCACCCACGGTACTTGGTGTTCCCCATCAATCTGGAAATTCATGTCCTTTATTTCTAGAAATCTTACTACATTTTTCCTTGAAAATTTTATACATCACTATTTGTGTGCCTTCTTTCTAGAATTTCTAGTATTTGGAAGTTACATTTCTATGGTTTTCTTTTCTGCATTCCATTTCTTTGCCTTAGCCCAACCCCTGAGTTTTCGTTTTTGCTATTATAATTTCCAAGAGCTCTTTTTTGTTCTCCGATCATCCCTGTTTTAATAGCATCCTCTTCTTTTTTCATGCATGCAGTGCTTCTCTTACCTCTGTGAAGATGCTGAGAATGTTTTATGTACGTTTTCCCATTTGCATTTTCTGCTTCCTTTAGGTGGCTTTATTCTCTCAGCTCATTTTGGTCTTTACCTTTCATACTTAGTGTTTGCTTCTACAGTCTGTTGATCCTTAGCTATTTGCTCACATTTGAGTGGGGAACTAAAGAACTGCAAATTGGTGGGGCATGTCGCTATTTTGCTCTGACTGATTGTTTCAGTGAATACCTGATATCAGTGTCCTAGGCTGGTTTTTTCCCCTTCTCTCTCGGATTTGTCATATTCCCTAGAGAAGGTTCTCCAGTCTCTCACCTGGAGAGTATCTCTGGCTGCCACCATTTTGGTTGCCAATTGCAGGAAGAAAGCTGGGCCCATGGTTTCAGTGCTCATTTTTGACATTTCATTCCATCCCATTTTTCAGGACAATATCCATGCCCTCAACTCTGCCAAATGCCCAACCCATTCTCATCTAGATACTCTTTGTTGTATCTTTATATTGACTACACCACTTCCTCCCAGGTGTGAGAGGGATAGTTGCTATACAGCATATTTGGGAGGGGATCCAATGGTCTGTTTCTTAAACAGGCTCTCAATCAATTCTTTCCTCTGTCCCTTCCCTACCCCTAGATTTATTCATGTTGCTGCAAATGGCATTATTTTATTCTTTTTATGATTGAGTAATATTCCACTGTATATGTATAGAGCACATCTTCTTTATCCATTCATCAGTAATTGGACATTTAGGTTTCTTCCATGTCTTGGCTATTGAAAACAGTGCTGCAAATGAACACTGGGGTGCATGTATCTTTCCAGATTATAGTTTTCTCTGGATATATGCCCAAGAGTAGGACTGCAAGATCACACAGGAGCTCTGTTTTTAGTTTTTAAGAAACTATCATACCATTCTCCATGGCTTCCCAGGTGGTT